TGCTCAGCCCCCAGGCACTGCCACTGGGCCCCTACCAGCCCTTTGTCCTTTGAAAATCTCTCCCACAAGGGCTTCCGGTCACCAGGTACTTCCCCCTCCCTTGTCATTGCTCTGTGGTTGCTAGCTGCTGAGGGCTGCATGGACTCCTCTGTTTCTCTCTGCACCTTCCCTGCATGGCGTTCGCTAAGTCACCCCTGGGGTTTGCAGCAAGGGGAGCCTGAGCTGGGAATGGGAGGGAATGGAACTGATCCAGGCACGGCTGTTATTGGAAGGGGAGTCAAGGGGCTTGTCTACAGTGGGAAACCCCCATGTAGCTGCACTGTCCCGTTGCAAACTCCCCCCAGTGCAGACGCACAGCACCCCTGCAAGAAGTGACTTGCACTGGTGCAGGTTTCCCAGGTTGTTTACACAAGCAATGGTGCAAATAACTTTTGACACTAGTGCAGTGCCTCTGTACTAGGATTTGCATCTGTACGGCTAACCTGTCAGCGCAGCAGTGCGAAAATCCCCGGGAGAGACCAGCTTGAGGTCTAGTGCAACCCACATTAGGATCTTTGCCCCTCTCTAGTGGCTGGTTCACATCAGGCTACTGCAGCTGCCAGCTAATGGGTCTGTCTTCACTGCACCTAACCACCCACAGCTGGCCCAGGTCAGCGGACTCAGGCTCATGGCGCTCAGGCGGTGGGGCTGTTTCATTGTGGGGTAGATGTTTGGGCTCAGGCTGGAGTCCGAGCTCTGGGACCCTGCGAGGGGGGAGGGTCACAGCAATTTTCAGCTGACCCGGGCCAGCTGTGGCCGTGCCATGGATCTTTTATTCCAGTGTAGCCATATCTTTGAGCCCCTTGCTGTTTGCTCTGGGGGGCTTGGGTTCCCGCCCCTCTGGTGACCCAAGCAGGGGTTTGGTATAAACGCGCAGTGGGTGAAGACCTAGGTGCTAATCCAGACTGGGGGACTCGGGAACTAGCGCTCTGTGGGGTTCGAGTGCCAGGGCCACGTCACAGAACCAGCCTGCAGTTCAGTGGAGGGGAGACGCCCCTCTCTGGGCTACAGGATTTTACCCCTCTGCTGCATGCCTGATTTTCCCATTGCTGAGCAAGAGTTAAGGAAACCTGGCAGCATGACGTGGCTGTTCTGTCTCCTCCCAGCATATCTCACACGGAGTACGTGCCGGCCTCCTTCCCTGGCAAGAGCCTCACTGTCATCCAGGAGCATCCCACAATCCAGCAGAGTCTCAACAGGTAATGAAGAGGATCAGTTGCCTTTTCCCTGCTCCTCCCTGTGTCCCCTTAGGGCCCCTCTCTGCCCACGGCACTGGCTGCACAGTCCCCTCTGAACTAACTCGGGGGAAAGGCCTGAGTTTGCTGTGGACACCGAAACGAGACCCCCTGCTCAGTGCGGAGTGGTCAGCAAAGCAATACGATGCTGGCCTGCCTACAGGACGGGAGGCAGGGAGGGCACCAGAGATGATTAGCGACCTGGCAAGGCGGGCTCTTTGCTTTCGAGAGTCTGTTGCTCTGGCCCAGTCTGGCAGCCCTGCTCGGAGGGGGACACACGGAGCCCCTCCACCATGGCAGCAATTCCAGGAAAGGGAGGGGAGGCGTGTGGCCAGAGCTCTGCAGGGGTTTGATCCCCTAAGGGATGGAGTGCTAATGACCAGAGGAGCAATCTAAGCAGTCTCCCGTCAGCTGGATTTCTGAGAGAACCGTGAAGTGCAGTTAGCCCCTGTGCTCGTTCTGCAGCGGGAACCCAGACAAAACTTCACGCACCCCAAGGAAAGTCAGGGCAGGTCTGAGCCTGCTGGAGAGAGGCCCAGGCTTTAGCAATGGCCCAGAGGTGCCTGGTGCTTAAGGGAGCCGAAGCACCTTGGAACAACAAACTCTGGTCTCACTTTACACCAGCGTAAATCTGGAGTGGCTCCAAAATAGTCAGCCCGTGTCTGTCTGCTACTGTGTGCACCTGCCAGGGGTGGGGCTGCAGCTGCGAGACAGAGAGCGGCAACCGGAAGGGATTTTCTAGGAAGTAAAGGGGAGACGTGATCTTGTAGAGAGAACTCCCATTCCCCTTTACTGAACAACAAGAGAGCATCTGCGTTACTTACGTGCTGGCTGAGCATGTCAGGACGGGCGGGAGGGTGAGGGACCATCCACTCGGACTCTTTCTCTTGTGCTGTCTCAGCGTGGGCCCGTGTTTGACTTTGTCTCTTGTTTGCTTTGTTCTCTCCTGCAGCTCCAAGTGTCCCACGGGAAAATACGTCTCCCTCCGATGCACAAGTAAGAGGGAGCTTTTACCATTGCCATAAAGCATAGACTTGGTGATAGGAGAGCTGGGTCTAGAGCGGGTCTCGAAACCACTGAAAGAACTGGTGTGAAAATGGTTTGAAATTTTTACTGGTTTTTGAAAATGTTGCCAGATCCCAGTTTCTCAGCAGTTGGTTGGAAAAGTGAGAGAATTTTCATCCAAACTTTTCAGGGTTTTATTTTTTTCATTGAAATTTTGAATTTTCAATGAAAATTTGAACTAAAAAACTGAAGTTCACAAAATTTTGATCAGCTCAACTGATCTCTTGTGACATCATGTCAACTGCCATGTTTTCTTTATCAAAGTTTTACTTCTTTCTTTCTTTCTTTCTTTCTTGGCAGACTGAAAATATCAGTCTATTTCTATTGTCTATTTCTGTGCTCACTTTCCTAGAACTGGTCATCTATCCTACTCTACTCATCTCTGTATTCACCTATCTGTCTGTCACAACGCAGGGGTTTTTAAGGTGTCTGTCACTGATATCTAAATAAAAAACCCCTTTTCTTACCCCTCCAGCTCAGTGGAATATATATTACTTAGCACACTAGCTACCCTATTGCACTGTGGGTATAAGTAATGGCCCGTGCAGTTCAAAGCCGCAGGGGTCAGAGAGTCCAATTGTCCAGCTGGATTGTAAAAGTGGAGGCTGAATGACTTCAGACTCCCCTCCCCGGCATGCAGCCAGCACTGTACAGCTGTCTAGGGTATTACTGGGTTCTCTTTGCAGTTCCACTGAAGCAGAAAGCCACTGCCACAGCTGGGGGCAGGATACTGGAACCGATGGGCCACTGACCTGGTCCGCTGTGTTATCCGTGAGCTCGTTTTGCCAGGTGTGCGATCTGTTAGGTGATCCTGGAACACGCAGGTGGGCCTGGCCTGATTTTCCTGTCGAGGCACCTGGCTAAGCTAATGGACCTTTCGGAGTTTCCCCTCAGGCTCCCATGGGGAAGATTTGCTTCCTCAGCTTGTTTCTCTTCCTCCAGGCTGTGGACAAAGGACTTCTGGCCGCATCATTGGGGGGAACGAAGCTTCGGCGAGTAAGTGGCCCTGGCAAGTTAGTCTCCAGTATGGGCTGAGCCACATCTGCGGGGGGACAGTCATTGATACCCAGTGGGTGCTGACAGCTGCCCACTGCTTCTTCATGTAAGTGGTGCTCCTGCTAACTGGCTGTGTTGGCTGCAGCCAGCAAGGGTTGGTTTGGCTGCGGCTGGTGAGGGGAAGGGTCTAGGTGAGGAGAACCGGAGAAGCTGGGAATTATCGGCAGCCGTGTTCCACTCCCGGTCACAGTATTGAAATGCAGATGGACTCTGCGGGAGCTTGAGTCGCTCTGGATCAACGCTGATGTCACCTGGGATCAGAATTTGGCTCCCTCTCCCTGCTGGGACTTTAGATGCAGAATTTCCACTAGCTGTCAGCCACTAGAGGGCAGGATCGCAGCTGTGTTCCAGCCCAGCCCGGCTCCTGGAGCAGCTGCAGCTCTCCAGGGCAGACCAGCAGCCGATCCTTGCACAGGCGCCCGGTTTATATGTCATTATTTTAAGGTGGGAGCACCCACGCCTAGGGGTGCGCAGACAGAACGCCAATAGCAAACACACACCTCGGGGCCAATGGCTGGAATAAGAAATCACGTCCGTGCAGAATGTACAGCTGAGTTCTGTGCCGTAGATAAGAGAACAGGGAATTAAAGCACTGACCTGCGTACCCCGGTCAGGCTCAGACATACGTCCCGCTTGGATTAGGTCGAGCGACCCAACCCTCGATCAGCATGGTGGAGAAGTTGGTAGGGAGCAGAGTCTGAGCTGAACAAAACGGGGAGATGGCTTTTCGTGCCAATTTTTTAACTCCAGTCCTTGAAACCAAGTGCTGGAGGGAGGCTAGAATCTGGCCTGCAAACCCAGCTATATGAGAAAAACGGGGGGCTACCAGAAGCTAGCTGAGGGCTGCCAATTCTAATCTGCTGTGCAGAATCCTGGCGTGGGAATGGTACTAAACCACAGCAGATTCCAGACCTGGTGCGTGAGCTGCCCCTGCGCTCGCCTGGCCTGGATTGGGCCATTTGCTCAGGGCGGTCACTGCATCACATCCCCTTTCTACGTCTGCTTAGGAACAGCGTGAAGATCCTCGATGAGTGGAAAGTGTATGCTGGGGCCTCCGACCTGTTCCAGCCTGCCAAGGGCATCCCCACCGCCCAGATCATCATCAACTCCAACTACAGCGACGATCTCGACGACTACGACATCGCTCTGGTGAAACTCGCCACGCCCTTAACGATATCAGGTGAGGCTAATTCCCAACCTCCTCAGGCTGGGAGCTGCACGGCCTGTGCATCTGCTTGACTTGGCCAGCCAGATGCTCCTGTTCCCGGAAGCGAGGAAGGACTGACAGGAAGGTGGCAGATGTTTCAGGGGAGAAGAAACCCCTTGTCCCACTGAGTGGGAGAAAAGGGAAAGTACAGTCAGAATCCAGTACCAGGCGTGGTCTCTCCCAGCGATTCCAGATCTGAACTGTGATTGTTCTAACGGCCGTGCTGGTGCTGCCGTCTGGTCTGGTCCCACCTGCCTCACCCATCATAACCAGAAGCGGGAGGTTCTGTGTCCAGAACTCAGGTGTCTAAGTTGTTGATGGTGCATGAGGCAGAACAGACTCCAGCACCCTCTCCCAGAGCGGCACCAGTTCCACAGGCCAGGCAGGGGCTAAGGCGTCTTTGGGCAGTGAAGTCTGACTCCAAGACACATGAAGAGCGGGGCGGAGGCAGAGACTGGGTAAGAAGGTGCCGGTTTTACACAGGCACTTGTCTGATTGTAATCAGTGTAAGGCCCACCCGTGTGCACAATGCTGGCTACCTGCAGAGCCTGACAGAGTCAGCGGGGCTTTATGCAGGCAAAGGGACCCTCTGCATATCCGGTGGCAGGACTGGGGCTGATAGCCATCACCGGGCAGACAGGAGGCCGAGGGGGTAACACTGAGCTGTTAAATGGGTGTTCACTATCCTCCTCCTTGGCACCATGGGTGTGTGGGGTGAACAGCCCTGCACTGCTGAGCCATACAGAGAACATCTGTTGATTTATACCTGTAAAAATGGGTCCTGGGGGCTTCGTAGGCATGTTCATGGAGATCAGTTTTGGGTCTGGCTAATAGGATGTTGGGCAGATGACCTGGGAATGAGACCCCAATAGCACCAGTGAATGCACCCCCTGGAAGCACCATACAAACGCTATTACAGCCAAGACTTTTCCCCTCCCTCCGTGTAATCTGAAAACGGCTCCGTCCAGTGCTAAGGGACCAGCCTGAGAGCCATTGCCACGTGCTGTGTGCTAGGACGTGGCTCCAGGAGCACGCAGGGCATGGGCCTCGTGCCTCCCAGCCCCTGGGGAGGTGCGCCCCAGGCCGATGGTTGCTGAGCCTTCTCGCTTGGCTTGGTCACAGTGAGGCTGTCACAGGGTGGCTGGCCCTGGCTCCCTTGTGCCAGAAGAGTTGCTCCCCTTTGTCCAGGCAAGGGGGCAGGGCAGCACCTGGGCTGTGAAGGACCAGAGAGAATCTGAGGGAAAGAGCTGGTGACTCAGAGCTGCCTGAGTGAGGGTCAGGAACGTATGCCGGAGAGCTGAACCCAGGGGACCAGTGAGGGGGCCCAGGGGCGCGATGGGCACTCCCTGGTGCGGATGATCTCCCAGTGGAGAGGCTGGGAAGAGTGGGTGCACTCCAGCTGGAAGGGCTGTGGTGGCTGTCCTGGCTCCGGGACACAGGAGGGCTGACAGAGTCTGGTGTGGTGGAAGATGCCGGAACGTGGTATGTGTTACGTCAGTGGCTGAGAGGCTATGTGATTTGAAGGACTACTTGCCCTGGGGTGATAAAGGGGTTGTTTACACTGTGTGTTTGTAAACAATCAGCCCAAGGCAGGAGAGCCTGGCAGAGTCTCCTTGGGTTACCTGAGAGGAGAAACTGAGGCAGATGCACCAGTTCTGCCGTGGCCTGCTGCAGGAGGACACTCCAGGGGGGTCACCCGTTGACAGATGGTTAGTGGGACAAGACCCGACTTTAGTTCCTTCAGAGGACAACACTCCCTGCGGCGGCTGCTGGAACACCAGTGACTGCAGCTATTCCCTGGGGCATGTCAGACTCACTCTCTTTCCTTGTTTGGTGTTTTCCTCTCTTCCAGGGCAGGTCCGCCCCGCTTGTCTCCCGATGTCTGGCCAGACGTTCCGGGCTGGGAGGACGTGCTTCATCACTGGCTTTGGCAAAACCAGTGAGAACGAAGGTGAGAGCGGGGACTGAATCCGACATCCCTTTGGGGAGGGGCCACACGCCCTGCCGTGGCCTCTGTCCAGCCGGGCGGCACCATGGGGGAGCACCGAAAAGGCAGCTACGCATCGTGCTGCGGAGTACGGGGGGAGCCAGAATTTTCAGCCTGGGCCAATGACTCTGAGGGGCCCAACCTGAGACCTGCTGGTCCTGATTCTCAGAGGCGCTGAGATGCTGTTGCTGGAAGTCCAGCAGGTCCCGATCTGAGGACCCCCCCAATGAACATGCCTGAAACGGATGGCCATTTTGCTAACGTGACTTTAATCTGTGAAGCCACCGTGAAGCCGTCTTTGAGAGGAAGCCCAGTGGTCTGAATTACGGAAACGGGGCCTGTGATTTCAAAGACGACCGTTCTGGGGGCACGGCTAAGAGCCAGTGACCTCCCTGCTGTGGGATTCTGTAGTACAAAGAGCTCATTCGCCATTCAGTGAAATCCTACGTTACAGTGATCCCTGTGGCACCTTTGCCTACGGCTGTGATGTGCCGGGGGCCTGCAGCGTGCGATCTAGCGGTGACAGCAGGTGGCCAGGGACTCGCTCTCCGTGTGCGAGCCACGGGCACTGCTTCACCTGTCCCCTTTCTGTCCCTGTTCCAGAGAACACCTCCTCAAAGCTGCGGGAGGCGGAAGTGAGACTGATCGACTACAAGATCTGCAACAGCAGTAGCGTGTACGAAGGCGAGCTGACCCCCCGCATGATGTGTGCCGGGGACTTGCAAGGAGGGAGGGACTCGTGCCAGGTGAGGCTTTTGCCAGTGTTCGTCTGGAAGGGCCTGCAGCCCTGCGCAAGGGTGGGGGTGGGCACCACGTTGATCCACAGACACCCCGCGTCTTAGCACAGACGTGTGGACGAGCTGCTCCTGGAGACGTGCTGTCCTGGGCACTGCCCCTGCCGGCACCTCTGGAGTGTGCACCGGCTGTGCAGTGACCTGAGACCTCTGTGCAAACCGAGTGCACGGCGGGGTTCCCTCCGAGTTCTCCTGACTCTGCCTTCCCGCTCTAGGGCGACAGCGGCGGCCCCCTGGTCTGCGAGGATAACAGCCGGTGGTACGTGGCCGGAGTGACGAGCTGGGGAACTGGCTGTGGCCAGAAGAACAAGCCCGGGGTTTACACTCAAGTTACAGAGCTCCTCAGCTGGATTCACAGCAAAATGGAGGTGAGCCGGCCTCAGGACTGAGCTCCACTGGGGAAAAGCGCCGGCCTCTGCTCCTTGTGTGCAGGCGAATGCCATGGTCACCCTGGGCAAGAGCTGAGAATTCCAGCTGGCTCCCAAACAAATGTGACGGACCTCGGTGGCAATTGCCACCAGCCCCAGGTCCCTTGGCAAAGCACACGCCTTGCCTCCAGCTAGTGCCCTGGCTCTGGAGCCCCTGTTGAAATAGAGGCAGCAAGAAGGGAAATGAGGAAAAGTGTGAACACTAGATCCTCACCGGGAGTTATGGGGTGAAAGCTTCATCCCCTGCAATGCTCAGTGGGCCAGATTCTGCTCTTGATCCCACTAGTGTAACTCCAGAGTGATGGTGTCGAGCTCAGGGGAGTCACAGCATCCCCGAAGGCAGGATTTATCCCATTGTCTTGATGTCATTGCAGACAGGTTGTTAGACAGGAAAACAGGGTTCGGGCTGCAATAACTCCGCAGAGCCGCGGGTTCCAGGCTGGCCCAGGCAGCCGTGTTGAGCACCAGCCTTTCCCGGGGCCCTGCCTGCTCGCTGTGGGTGTTGCAGATCCCCTGGTGCTTCCCCAGAGACTGGGGTTTGACTCGGTGCCTTTTGACCAAAACCACCCTTCCCCGCGGCACTACTCTGCCTCTGTGCCGCTGCCTATACAGTTACAGTTGTGGTGTATCACAACTCTGCTGAAACCAGTGGGAGCTAGGTTGTGTGGCACATGGAAATCAACACAACCCTGGAGCAGGTCGTTGCCCCAGACCCACGCGTGCTGCTTGAAGCTTTGGTGTTTCCTGTCTAACCTGCGCTCTCCTCCCTTTTCTCTTCCCAGAGTGAGAGTGACTAAGGACGAGGTGGGCACCTAGTGGGGCTGTGGCTTCTCCCTGCTAACAGCTCCAGGTGTAGTGAGATCCTTGGCGCTGTTCTGCTGTCACAGGGCAAAATTCCAGTGATCACCCTTCGAGCACGGACTGTCCGGAGGACTTATGACTTGGTGCTGCCCTGAAGCCCTGAAAACACAATGCCTCCAGAACGTCGAAGTCAATTCATTTTGCCAACAACCAAAATGGGAAATATAAGCAGAATATCAGGGGAAATGTCCCAGTGGTGTGAACTGGTGAAATATTTTTCCAAGGGAAGTGGCAGAAGCCCCATTACTTGACATTTAAAACTGGACTTGACAAAGCACTTGAAAATATCCTATAAGGCACAGTCCTGCACTGACGGGTCCTTTCTGTCTTTAAATTATACAATTCTTGTTGTCTTGTAAATAGAAAAGTCAGGCCTGTCTCCTCCGAGTCCTTCGTGTCAGAACCCAGGTGGACGGGCAGGTCAGTGCCGCAGGACGTGGTACCGGAAGGGAAAAGGCTGAAACTCACACGGCTCAGCCCCTTTGCATTCTGTTCCTTGCGTTACAGGGCCCCCCTGCTTAGGATTAGGTGCTGTAGCAAGCCCTGGTCAGAAGCAGAGGCTGCCCCAAGGAGCTCCCTGTCTAAATCGATAGGCTGGGAGAAAGGAAGGATAATTCTTCCCATAGAGGGCCAGTGACTTGTCCAAGGTCACCCTGGGGCTCAGTGGCAGAACCAGGTCAGCCCAATGCCTTAGCCACAGGGCTGCCCTTCACCATTCCTGCGGGTAGTAACGTGTAGTTCTCCTGTCAACGTCCACACGCAGCTGCCTCTGCACCTAACGGCCCATGTCGTCATAGCCTCTCGCAGTTGTCAATGGACCGGATTTGAACGGTTTGTAAATGAGTTTGTTTGTATCATGTAGAAATATCTGATTGGGTTTTTTTTTTTATGGTTTCAAAATGACCTGCCCAAGCAATCCTGCTGGTGTCTGTCCCAGCACCACTGCCCTTCACCACGCTGCTGATGTGGTGGTGAACTACTGCAGGGCCAGATACAACACAATGTGTGTCCTAGTGGACAGGATTATACACACCAGCTGGAATTCTGGGGAGGAAATCTGTGACTCGTGGGGAAGTTTAGGAGCAGAGGAAAGGTAGAAAATTCCAGATATAATGGGAGCTGCCTTAAAAACACACCAAGCAGCTGCCTGGCCCGAAGAAGCCATGTGAGTTAGTGCTACATGGCAGAACCCAGCGTTAACAATGCTAAGTGAGAGAGTGCTACATGGCAGAACCCAGCGTTAACAATGCT